GCCGACACGAGATGCGAGACGGGCAAGCCGCCCCATTCAGGAGGAGACGTGACGTGACGAACCTCCCGACGCCCACCGACGCAACGTCAAGACATCCATGCGCTTTTGCTCCATCCTGGCCCGGCTGTGCTAGCTAGTCATGGACTGGTTGGTGTCGGTGTGGTCTGGTCTCGATGTCGGGGACGGAAAACGCCAGGTCCTACCAACCTTAGTCAAAGCCGACGGACCATGGCGATGAGAGACCGATAAATACCCCGATCCGTCAACCTCTCGCCCGCTCCCCTCCAGCTTGCTCTTCCTTTTTCCTCCTCTCCTTGCTTCCCTCAAACGAAACCTGACTGGCATCCTCCTCATGCTGCAGTGCCGTCACAATGTCTCCCAAGTCCATCCCCCCTCAGGAGATCGAAGGCACCCCAGACTGGCAACACCAGGCCGTCTTCCGACGAAACACTCTCCCTGCACGCTCCTACCACATTCCCGAGACCTCCCTCCTCCTCAACGGACAATGGGAGTTCTCCTACACCTCGTGCCCCGAGGAGTCTCCTCAGCCCGGCGACGAGGACGTGCCCGAAGACAACTGGGGCACCATTGAGGTCCCCGGCCACTGGCAGCTCCAGGGCCACGGTCGCCCTCACTACACCAACACCGTCTTCCCCATTCCCGTCTGCCCGCCTTTCGCCCCGACAGACAACCCCACCGGTGTCTACCGCCGTACCTTCAACGTCCCCTCGACCTGGGACGCCAGCGCGCAGCTGCGCCTGAGGTTCGACGGCGTCGACAGCGCCTACCACATCTACGTCAACGGCGCGCTTGTTGGCTACGCCGAGGGGTCAAGAAACGCGTCCGAGTTTGATGTCACCGACTTCGTCAAGCACGATGCGCCCAATGACCTCTTTGTCAAGGTCTACCAGTGGTCTAGCGCCACCTACATCGAGGACCAGGACCAGTGGTGGCTCTCTGGCATCTTCCGCGATGTCCACCTCCTGGCCTTCCCCAAGACGGACAGGATCGATGACTGGTTCCTGCGCACCGATCTGGATGCCAAGTACGAGAACGCCACGCTCCAGGCCACCGTCGATGTCACGGCCTCCAAGTCGGACAGCCTCAAGATCACCCTCAAGGAGCTCGTCAAGAACGGCGGCGCCGTCATCACCACCAAGGATGCTCCCGTCAAGAGCGGCGACACCAAGATTGACCTCGACTTGGCCGTCTCGAACCCCAAGAAGTGGACTGCTGAGACGCCCTACCTCTACCAGGTGGAGATCACCCTCGGCGCGCACACCATCCAGCAGAACATTGGCTTCCGCAAGGTCGAGCTCAAGGGTGGCCTCATTCGCGTCAACGGCGTGCCCATCCGCATCTATGGTGTCAACCGCCACGAGCACCATCCCAAGTTCGGTCGTGCTGTTCCTCTCGACTTCATCAAGAGGGACCTGCTGCTCATGAAGACGCACAATATTAACTCTCTGCGATGCTCGCACTACCCGCCCCATCCTAAGCTCTTCGACATGTGCGACGAGCTCGGTCTCTGGGTCATGGACGAGGCCGATCTCGAGACGCACGGCTTCTACGACTGCATTGCCCGGCCTCTGGACATTCCCGAGGAGTGGGACTACGAGGAGCGCAAGAAGCAGACTTTCCCGCCGGCGGGCAAGTACACCAGCCAGAACCCCGATTGGAAGGAGGCCTATGTCGACCGCATGGTCCAGCTCGTCCAGCGCGACAAGAACCACTCCTCCATCATCATGTGGTCTCTCGGCAACGAGGCCTTCTACGGCGACAACCACAAGGCCATGTACGAGTACGGCAAGGCATTTGACCCCACGCGCCCCATCCACTACGAGGGAGACGTCGACGCCGTGACGGCCGACATGTTCTCGTACATGTACCCTCCCATTGACAGGCTGCTGCACCTCATGAAGACGGCGGGTGTCAAGGAGGACGGCAGCTGGGACAAGCCCATTGTTCTTTGCGAGTATGCTCACGCCATGGGCAACGGCCCCGGTGCCCTCGACGACTACGTCGAGACCTTTGAAGCCAACGAGCGCCTCCAGGGAGGTTACATCTGGGAGTGGGCCAACCACGGCATCTGGAAGGAGGACCCCGATGGCAAGAAGTACTATGCCTACGGCGGTGATTTTGACGACTTCCCCAACGACGGCACCTTTGTCATGGATGGCCTGCTGCACAGCACCCACGAGCCGACCCTTGGCCTTGTCCAGCTCAAGAAGTCCTACCAGCCCCTGCTTCTGTCTGTCGAGGGAGGCAAGCTCGTCATCAAGAACAAGTACGACTTTGTTGGTGTTCAGCACCTGTCGGCGACCTACAAGGTTGAAGAGCTTGGTGAGAGGTGAGTGATCTGAATCCCCAGCCCCCCACTGCTCTATCATGCAAGCGCTAACTTACTGTTCCAACCAGCACCTCGCACATTGCTGCCGGTAGCCTCGAGATCCCTGCCGTCGCCGCCGGCGAAACAGTTTCGGTCGACCTTCCCGCCTCGCTGTCGAACATCAAGTCCACCAAGGATGTCTACCTCACCGTCTCCTTCCGCCTGAAGGAGTCTACAAACTGGGCTGAGCCCTCGCACGAGATTGCCTGGATCCAGCACCAGCTCTCCTCGGCCGAGGCTCCCGCGTCCGCCGCGGCCCTCAACACCCTCACCTCCAAGCTCACAGTGGAGAAGACGCGTGCGCGGGCTACCATTTCCGGCCTCGACTTCTCCTTTGTCTTTGACACCGCTCGCGGTCTGCTTGTGTCTTGGACGGCTGGTGACAAGACGCTCCTGGAAAAGGACCCGGCCACGGGTGCCGCGCTGATCCCCAACTTCTGGCGTCCTCCCACGGACAACGATGTTCCCGTCGCCTGCGTGTACTGGAAGCGCTTCGGCGTGCACGAGCTCACCAGTCAGCTGCGCTCTATCGACATTGTTGAGTCGGCTGACAAGGTTGAGATCTCCACCAAGACGTTCCTGTCCCCCCCTGTGCTCGCCTGGGGCTTTGAGACGACGTCCAAGTACACCATCAGTGCCACTGGTAAGCTGACGGTCGATGTCGACCTGACGCCTACTGGCCGCATGCCGACAACTATTCCTCGTGCCGGTTTCAACCTCCACCTTCCGAAGGCACTCAGCCAGGTCAAGTACCTCGGTCTCGGCCCCGACGAGTCGTACCCCGACAAGCAGACGAGCCAGCGCGTCGGCGTGTACAGCGCCACGGTGCCTGAGCTGCAGACACACTACGAGGTGCCGCAGGAGAACGGCAACCGCATGGCGACGAGATACGTGACGCTGACAGAGGGTGGCCACGGCCGTGGCTTCCGCGCGACGCCCTCGGACGCTTCGGCGTGGACCGACGAGTCTTGGCGCAACTTCAGCTTCCGTGCCAGCCACTACTCGGCCGACACTCTTCACTTTGCCAAGCACCCGTGCGATCTCGTCGAGGCAGATGCGACGCTGTTGCGCCTTGATGCTCGCGTGGCTGGTGTCGGCAGTGCCGCGTGCGGCCCTGGACCGCGCGAGGATCTGCTTGTCAAGACAAAGCCTCTCAAGTTTGGCTTCGTGCTCGAGCGTGTAGGATTTTAAGTGCCATAGGATGAAGGGGAAAATCGAGGTGGAAATGGTTCCATATTAGACGGGACAAGGTTATGAGCGTGATGACAATCCAATACAGTATGAACATGTTGAATTTTAACACTGTACGACCTCGGTGAGCCAGCGATCATAAGAAGGATTGGCACCACATCGACCTTTGCACATCAACATCTGAGCATCTCTCAAGGTAGTCTCGACGACCTTTGACAACCGATCATGGACTCCCAAGCAGCAGCGAACGTTCTGGGGACCCTCGGTGCTGTATGTGATTTCTATTTGCACCAGCAAAAAAATGGGCACAGGGTAAAGACGGAAAGCTCATCATCCTTGGCAGGTCTGCTGGTCCATCCAGCTCATCCCCCAGATCGTCATCAACTACCGCCGCCACCACGCCATCGGCCTCCAGCCCTCCATGATGATGCTGTGGGCCTGTGCCGGCGTCCCCCTGGGCGTGTATAACATTGTCCAGGACTTCAACGTTGCCCTGCGCATCCAGCCACAGATCCTGACGCTGCTCAGCCTGGTGACCTGGATCCAGTGCTATTACTACGAGAGGGTAAACCTGCACCGTGCAAGCTGCAACCGTCTCTGGATTTCAAAATCACTCACGCGACGTTACAGAAATGGACCGTCGCCCGCGCCCTCGCTGTTGTCGTCCCCGTGGCAGCCCTGATGGGCGGCATCCAGGCAGCCCTCATCGTCGCCCTGCGCATCGCCCGCCACGCCGAAACCGAGTGGCCCCTCACGCTCATGGCCGTGCTCTCGGCCGTGCTCCTCGCCGCCGGCGTGCTGACGCACTACTGGGACATCTGGACGCACCGCACCGTGCGTGGCATATCGTTCCTCTTTGTCGGCATTGACGCGCTCGGCGACGTCTTCTCGCTCGCGTCCGTCGTCTTCCAGCCGCGCCTGGATGTGCTCGGCATGGTCATCTACGCGACCGAGCTGGTCCTCTGGATCGGCGTCTTTGCTGCCGGGGGTTGGTATAACCTGCGGCCGTGGATGCGGGGCAAGCTGAGCAAGGGCGGAGAAGGGGAGGACGAGTCGCCTGCTGCTGCTGCTGCTGGTCATGATGATGATGAGCCGGGCGTGCAGACGGAAGGTATCACGGCGCATGGCAACTACTCGTCGACCTCGGTCTTTCGGACGGCCTCGAGGGAGGAGGCCAGCGGAGTACATCACAGGATGGTCGCTTCACTCAGGGGGAGCGTAGAAGGATGAGGATAAAGGCCCCCACGTCGCAGACGGGGGAGGCAGATTCGCTGGCCCATGAACCGGAAATGAGAGCAATAACTACAACCAATGACGACAACCAACACCGATGCCATCCTAGTCTTGATATATCCCCCGAGAGATGCCGCCCAAAAAAAAAAAGAAGAAAGAACAAGAGAGGTATAGACCCGGCGCCCCGCTATGCCATGACCGCCGCCGCACCGAAAGCCACGATCGCCGCCGCCAGGCTGAAGGTCTGCGCCGAAGCGCCGCCACGCTGGGTCGGCTGGCCGCTGGGGTTGGAGACCTGGCCGGGCTGCGTCGTGTTGGTCACGGGCGTGCCGCCACTGGCGCCGTTGTTGTTGGCGTTGACGCAGCTCTGCGACGAAAAGCCCTGAGCGCTGTCCTGCAGGGAGCGCGTGAAGCCAGCAGCCATCTGGGCGGCAATCTGCTGCGCGGCCTGGGGCACCTTGCTGACAATGGCGTCGATGAGGCCGCTGGCGCCGGTGGTGACCTCGCCGACCTGGGCGCGGACGACGTCGCAGAGGTTGGCCTGCTGGAAGGCGGGCTGCTTGTCCTGGAGGTTCTGCACGAGGCTCTGGCCGTTGGTCTGCAGGCTGCCGACGAGCTGCTGGAGCTGCACGGTCTCCTGGAGCGTGAGCTCGTTGCTGGCCTGGATCGACGCCGTGCCCTGTCGGAACGTGTTCCATGAGCTGCTGCGACGCCTGCTGCACCTGCGTCGGGTCCGTTGTGAAGGCCTGCACGGCCTGGTCCAGCGAGCCGATGTCCGTGGCCACCTGATTGATGACGCCCGTCACGATGGCGAGCTCGCGCACGACGAGGGCCGGAGCGTCGCGTTCTACGGGCGTCGGCTTCTCGGCGATGGCGGAGCCGAAGGCGGCCATGGCCAGGAGGGTGAGGTGGGTGGTGATCTTCATGGTGTGTGTGTGTGTGTATCGTGCTTCGTTCCGGTGGTGGGGGAGGTTATGGGAAGGATGTATGGACAGAAGAAGAGTGTGGTCTGTGATGCGTGGAAATGTGAGAACAAACCAAACAACAAAAAAGCAAATAGGGGGATGCCGATGCTTATAGATTTGTTTAGTTGCCATCGTCTCAGGGCCAGCAAGGTTTGAGAAGCGAGATCTGCCCTCTGCACTGACCGGGGGTGAGCTTGCGGCCTTGAGTCTTGACCATGCTATCCAGTCCTGGGTTTCATGTGGGCTGATTCGACTGCTGAGGACCGTGGACGGCGTATCACGACCGTGTTTCTCCTCGTCGAGACTTGGGCCGACGGACGACAAAGCAGCCCCTTATGCCTCAAGGGGCGACATTTCGGATGGAAGTTCCGCTTCTGGGTTCGGAAAAGGGGTTATATCTGCAAATGGCCGTTATGGACAGACAGGAGGTAGGCAATCATATCCGAGACCGTGAGTCGTGGTGAAGGTGAAGCTTTCCACTGGTGCGAACCTTAAGCCAACCCCTTGCTCTTTGTCGGTATCACCACCACAGCCCAAACCATCCAACAAGAGTGATATCCTTCCAACGACCTCTTTGGAAGCCCGTTCTAGAAAACATTGAAGATGCGTTTTGTGACCGCTGAAATCAGAAGCAGTGGTGAGGATTGATACTCCGCTCGGACGTGGTCGATGAAACGCTCCTCGTGCGGCTCCGCCTCCTGATGCGCACCCAGCCGGCATCCGAAGCCGTGCTGCGTGCTATTCCTGGTCGGCCCCCTCGCCGCTCGGCCGTCGATCGAAGATCAACTGGGGATGTCGACTTTTCTTTTGACTTCTCTCGTGGCGATATCCATCGATTACCGGGTCAGATACTGGTCTGAGGGTGTGCGGTCGTGCCTCGGCCGGCTTGGAGCTGTATCGTTCTGTTTAGATCTTGCGCACCATACAGAGGTCGGGTGACATTGCCAGATTGAGCGACGATTTGCTTATAGACCTTTGCTTACATGTACAGTTGAGAGCGTCGCACTGAAGGGAGTATCAGCTTTGAAACATTCTGGCCTCGCGCCCTCGCGTCTCCACATCCGACAGCAAACAGAAAGCTTCGCCATGGTGCATGTACCCAAACGCGACAAGCGAATGCACTTGAGATGAAGGCATCGCTTTCTATGACGACCTGGCGGCTGCCAAGTCACATAAACCACATGCTGTCTGAAGGGGCTGGCCATGCCCCAACATGAGCTGAATGCGAGGCAGGCTGTGTCCGTCGGTGTCACCACGTGTTGGACGCTGACCAGCGTGTTTCCTTGGAGAAGAGGCAATGGTCTATTGTTCGCCGGTTTGTAACTCAAATTCTCAACCTCGAGTTGAGATGGGTATCATGCAAAAGTCGTATCCCTATCGACCGCAACAGCGTGGCAGCCCTGAACCTGGACCCTGTGCCAGGAGTTGCTTCCAGTCCGTCCTTGCAGAAGAAAACACTGGGAACATGTGCGACGCCTTGCACAGCGATCCGTCCGTCCGTGCACAACCTCCTGGTCCTCACTTGAAGATGCGCTTGCCGCCGGTCCGCACGGGAAATCGCTCGACACCGTCGCTCTGCTGCTCGTGCCACAGCCCCTGCGTGCCCACCCACCCGCTCTCGCCCGACATTTTGTACTGCCGCCACGCCTCGCGCAGGTGCTCCGGGCGCAGGGGCCCGCGCTTGTCCTTCTCGCTGAGGCGGTTGATGTCGCCGCGCACGGTGGGATCCGTGTTTTGCGGGGGAAACTCGACCTCTGACTGCTTCTCGCCGGTCGCGTTCATCCACTCGCCCTGCACGCTGATGGCCTTCTCGATGAGTTCGCCGATGAAGTATTTCGACACGGATTTGATGGCCAGCGTGACGGTAGGCGGCACCGACTGCGAGACGGTGGCGTTGACGACCTGTACAATCGATGATGGACCACGTCAGCAAGCGTCGCTCAGGTATGGGCAACAGAGACCAAGAAAGACAGAGGGAAACATACCCTCTTGACGACATTGTCGGTCAGTTTGGCCGCGCGCCAGTTCTCATAACGGTTCATCTGATCCTCGTCGAAGCACTCGACAAGCATGGCACGCAGCCTGATCTCCTCCTGCTTCTGCTCCTGCGTCCTCGTCTCACCGCCCACGAGCCCCATCTGCATGTCGTTATCATCATCGTCATCGTTGCCGTCCTCGCCATTCTGCCCATCGGCACCGCCGCCCGCCGTCCCGCCGCGTCCGCTGACGAGCGAGGGCGTGGGAGTGCCCGCGTCGGGGGCGCCTTCGGGGTTTCGATTCTTGGGCTTGCGGCCGCGCTTCTTCTTCGGGGGTCCTGCTGGCGCGCTGACTTGGCTGCCGCTGACGTGACTGGCTGTGTCGACCGAGGGGGAGCGCGCGAGTGGTGATCGCGCCTCGGGCGGGAAGGAGGTCTGGCGGAGGGGGTGGGTCGCCGAGGAGACGGAGAGAGTCGAGGCCTTGCGCCGCTTGAGAGAGGGTTGGGAGCCGCCGTCGGAGGCGCGCTTCTTTGAGACGGGCAGTGGCGTGTGGGCGGGATAGGGAGGGGAGATGGCCGTGGGCGACTGGGCGTAGGGGGGTGAAGCCATGCTGGCGGTTGCGAGTGGTGTGCTTGTGGCCGTCTTGAAGTTATGATCGATATGATGTGACGATGAAGGCAAGGTATAGATGGGGGGTCAGGTTGAGAGGCAAGCGTTCGAGATGGATATGGATGTCGATACATCCGTCGTAGCTGCTGCCAGGCTGAGAGCTCAGAACAGGGGGAGGCTGAGAGCTGAGACAGGGAAGGTGCAGAGTGCTTACCTAACATGAGTCACATGATCGGCGCTCGGGACTGCTCCGACAAGGCACGGACCATACCACGCGGACCCTGCAGTGGAGCCCGTGGATTTGACGTCAAACCCCGGACTCTAGACTCTAGACTCTAGACTCTGAATCCCATTGATAAGATAAGACCAGCCCCTCTGCTAATCCCGTCCGCCATTAACCGGCGATCCAGTAGAGTCAGTCCCTGGCCCGGTCATGATTCCATTTTTTTCCCCTACTCCCCAATCCCCCTCCCCCTCCGAGTCGGACCCTTCCCTCCCGACAGCCTGTCTCTAAACCACGCCGCTCGCTCGTGACCCTGTCAATTCACCCACGCAATGGCCGGCTCCGAAGTCACGAGCTCCGAGAGGCGTCACCGTCGCAAGCACAACGGCCACGGCCACAGCGACGCGGCAGACGCCCCTCACAACGCCAGCGACGCCGATACCGCGAGCAGCCACTCGAGCAAGGCGAGCAAGTCGAAGAAGCGCAAGCACCACCATCACAAGTCGGCCGTCTCCTCCCCCGAGGCGAGCGACGCCGACACGGCCAGCCAGAGCAGCAAGCGCTCCAAAAAGTCGAAGCGCAGACATGCCGACGCCGACGCCCGCGCCGCCGCCAACGGCGGAGCCAAGCGCCGGCCGAGCCTGAGCCAGCCGGCCCGTGACCCGCGGGACATCACCGTCAGGAAGATGAAGAAGCTGCAGGAGGAGGAGGAGGAGGACAAGCCCGTCGTCCGCACCCCCAGTCCCGTCATTGACTTTGACGGCCTCAGCCGCCCGTGTACGTTGGACTCTTTCTCTCTCTCTCTCTGTCCCAACCCCTCGTTCAAAGTGTAAAACAGTGACTGACTCGCTAGGGAACCCCCCCAACAGCCCGAGGCACGCGCGAACGTCTCGAAGAGAACCCCGACCAGGCCGCCGAGCGCCTCCAGAAGATGCAGGCCGCCGTCCGCACCATTCTCGAGTGCGTCGGCGAGGACCCCGACCGCTCCGGCATCGTCGACACGCCCAAGCGCTACGCCAAGGCCATGCTCGACTTTACCCAGGGCTACCAGCAGAACGTCGGCGACATTGTCAACAATGCCATCTTCCAGGAGGGCCACAACGAGATGGTCATTGTCAAGGACATTGAGATCTTCAGCCTGTGCGAGCACCACCTCGTGCCCTTTACCGGAAAGGTAGCCAGCCCCCCCCTCCCCTCTCTTCCACAAGAGTCTCCATCCGTTCTTGCTCAGAACAAAAGCTCACACGCGCGGCCGCAGATGCACATTGCCTACATCCCGAAGAACCAAGTCATCGGCATCTCCAAGCTGCCCCGCATCGCCGAGATGTTCAGCCGCCGCCTGCAGATCCAGGAGCGCCTGACCAAGGAGGTCGCCAACGCCATCATGGAGGTCCTCAAGCCCCAGGGCGTCGCCGTCGTCATGGAGTCGAGCCATCTGTGCATGGTCATGCGGGGCGTGCAAAAGACGACGGCCAGCACCATCACGAGCTGCGTCCTCGGCTGCTTCGAGACAAAGTCCAAGACGCGCAACGAGTTCCTCAGCCTCGTGGGGCTCAAGAAGACCTAGTCGGCAGTTCTCGTGTGGACGAGGAAAACAGATACTCGGCATTCTTCTTTGGGTTATTGATTTCTTCCCCTTTTGGGCCAGGGGCGGGGCTCTTTTCTAAACCCCGCCCAGCCCCTCTCACATTCATGGTGTTTCGGCGTCGGCAGCAAGCATGGGGCTCCAGAATCGGGCGTATCCCTCTTTTCAACATTGGGTCAAAGCATTTTGGGCGGTTTGGGTGAAACGGGTGGCTGTTAGATGGTTCGAGCTCAACGCTCTTCTTCGCGACGGATACTTACTTGTGTGCCGATATAGTTCGTGCCTGTGCTATCGGACTTGAATATCACTTGCAATGTCAATCTTGCATGACGAGGCTCCCTCTTTTGACATGTCATACCATCTCACTTGATCAAGCTGCAGTGCCAATACCCTGTTGAAGTAACTTGATTCATCTCTGCGCCCTTGTCCTACCCGTATGTAGACACGCCATATATGACGAAAATGTGCTGTGACAATGGTATATCCTCCGTGACCCATCCTATCAGAACCCAATGTATGCAGAAATGAAGCAGCGAGAAGAAAAAGAGTCCCAAAACCTGCCGTCTATAGCCACCAGCCGACCAGCCTCTTCAGCTGGTCGGTAGATTCCATCTATCTGATGAGGTAGGTCCCTTTTGACCATCTCTCGAATCATTTCCTGTTTATGTGATATCATGTCCCAAACAAACACCAATAGGTGAGCCCCAAAACTCCTTGAAAATGTTGAGAGAAAAAATAGCAAACAATTCTCATCGCATAAATGCCCAACCAAAGCAACAATCGTTACCGGCTCAGACCAAGGTCGTTCTGCTGCAGGAATGCCGTGGCTGGGCCATCACCTCCCTGTTCGGCGGCTTGAAAGAAGTGGATCGCGATACACATGAGTGACGGGTCATTCCACACTGTTGCTCCTTCTTCCGCTCCACCCTCATGCCCCGAACTTGATACATTGCCAGTGGTGCTAGATCGGCTCCTGTCACCGGGGTAGAACCTGGCGCCGGACCTTGAACCCCGACCATACTTGTCCATGACGGCTTGCTTGAACACCTCGCGAGGCTTCGAAAGGGGCAGCGTTGTACGCTCCAGCAATTCTGGGTCCATGAGATAAAAGAGGGCAAGCTCACGCTGGGCGGCAGTATCCCCTTCTTTGGCGAGAACGGTCCACATTCTGCCTGCATCCGCCAGGCTGTAAGTCGTTGTTACGGGAGCAGGTGAGCTCGGTTGTGATGACGAATCTGAACTCTGTGCGTGGGGTTCCTTGCCCCTCTCCTGTGTGCTTCTGTAGGCCTTCTGGACCTCATCAGCCACATCAAGCATTGTCCTGCACACTTCTGACTTGAGCCCAAGCGCGGCCAGCCCAGTATCCCAAAACGCTTTGCCTTTGTCTGTCTTGTCGAGTACAGCAGGATGAACGAAAGCCGCGATGAATTGCAAGTCCCTGAAAAGCGTCTGGGGTCGAATCGAGGCATCGCGTAATAGCGATCGCAAGACATCTACAACAGCGTCGGTGTGAAGGTTTGGAACTCCCACGGTCCGAGTATCAAGACTGCCAAAACGCGAAGGAAGCGATCCAGCGATCGTTGGAGAGATAACTGGTGACTGCAACAGAGCATGTGAGCGCCGTTCCTTAACATTGTCCATGTCATCCTCGAGCGGAGTGGGCCGACCGGACCCTCCACTGCCGTCATTATCAGGGACATGCGGGCTGGCTTGGTTCCAGTCCATTCGTGACCGCTTTGTCCCACCCGTGGCCAGGGACGCGAGAATGAGTTGCTCAAGCTCATACAGAGCGTTGAGCTTGGCATACGGGTTTGGGTGGACGCAGAACATGCGCAACAGGCGCTGGTACGCCTTCTTATAGGGGAACTCAGGTGTGCTGTCTTTCAGTATGGGACGATGCCGAGTGGATGCTGCATCGACTGGTGTGGTCGTACTGTCGGTTCCTGGGACGCTCGCAGTCTCGGTCGTCTCGGAGCTCTTGTCGGTCTCACCAGCACTCCTGAGATCCCCGCAGCTCTTTTTCTTCTCGATCACGCGTGGCTTTCCTGAGGCCTTCGAAAGTTTACCACGTGTAGACGATAGACCTTTCGCCCGCCTGTCGAGCGCATTTCGTCGTTCTATACACTCTTGGCCCAGGCTTTCAAACCATACATCAGTCTCGGCGCCAGACGCAAAGACAAAATTGCCCAGGTCCGAAAGAAGGAGACTGGTCAGTGTCTGCCGCAGATCGGTAAAGAATCGTGTCTTCTCCTCCGACAGGCGCTGCTGATAAACTGTCTCATTTGATGACGCTGAGGTTCCAGGTCGTCCGGTAGATTGGCCCGAGAAGGAGGGGCCGATTTGGCTGTGAGCATGGAATGTGCTTGATAGGTTCGTCACACTCGTAGTGGGCGAGTGTGCCCTTGAAGCCACAGTGCTTGGGGAGATGGCAGACTGAAAGGGCGACCAGAATGTCGAGCTCGAGTCAATGGTGTGAACAGGTGAAGATGCGCCGAAATAGTCCTGCCCGTCTATGAAATCGGAAAGAGCCGTGCTGGCCTTTGAGAATCGATAGCTTCCTGAATCGAATGATTGCTGGCTTGCATTGTGCGTCGACATGCTCCTAAGATCCCTGGGCATAGCAACCGATCTGCCGTGAATGTTGAACCTGCGTTCTGGCTCGCTGATGATGCTTGCGGCATCGTCTACGCCATGACCCCAGCCCGGCTCTCTATCGCGGCCGCCTTTGAACCCTTCAAGCGTCTTGCGGTCCCGCAGGTACAATTCGCTCGACCATAGGACAGGTCCATCCATTATGGACTCGCCGACAAGCTTGGAAATACATGTGTCGACCTCGCAGCAGAATCTGTGGATTCTCTCTTCACCGCGGCAGAAATTTGTGACGTCAGCCTGCTCCAGCCAACGCGATGTCTTGTCGGCTTGGTCGTCGCTGAGCTTATTCGGCCCACCTTGCTCTTCTGAGGCGCACAATAGATCCATGATCTGTGACTCGGTGCGGTAGAGATAATTGGCGGTGCCGCGAGCCGAGTGAGCCCTGTTGCGTTGAAATGTACCCCATCGACGAGGCATGCCCATCGTCTTCAAAGCTGCACAAATGTTGCGGGTGTGTTCGTAGGGTGCTGAGGTGCGGACGTCAGAGACATACCACATCTTATCACGGAGCGCCCGCAGGCGCCTCATCATGCCATCGAT